CCGCCGCTGCTGCTGTTACCACCATGGCTGCTCCTCTCAACAGCTTTCATGACTCACAAGCTTGACTAACCATCTGACTACACAGAATCCAGAATATCATCTCAATCTTGTTACTACCCATCTATAAGCCAGCCTTCATTATTGCCAATGCTATCATCTCAGCAAATCTGACACACTACAACAGCTGACTATCCAGCCTCAACACCGTCTGATCCAAGTCACCAACTGTTGCAATTGATAACATCTCAATGTTGAAACCACTCAGTTACAAACCTTCCTTGTCACCTCAGCAAACCTGACTCACTACAGTGACTCTGGCTCCATATGCAGCAACTTCAAATCTGCAAGTGTCCAATCCACTCAGCCTGCCACCATCTTGTAAAACATCATCCAACCAGCTACACCAACCTCATCAACTTGGCAACCCACTGCCATCATTTCAGCATACCCAACTCACTACAGGAATTTCCTTTGCAGTTTTTATAAAACAGGCCAACTGACCATGCCAATGTAATGTTATCTCGACAACAAACCAATTGAGCCACTACAGTGACCTCAATCAAACAACATGTGCAAACAACCATATCCTGTGACCTTGGTCAAACCAACACAAAAAATAGGTCAACTCCTGGCACTACCCTTACACCTGACAATCAGCAACAGAAGTTGATATTTCACTGATTTTCGACAACTCTGTAAGACACCCCATATATGAAACAAATACATGTTGTTCAAAGAATCTAATCCTTGTTATTCCTATCCTTTCACAAACAAAGGCTTTGTTCTTCAGTTTTGTTGGTTTCAATCCTAATTGGGAATGGCCGAAAAACACTTGCCTCTCCCAATTCATAGGTAAAAATGCACAAATGCATACTGGGATTTTTTGCTAGCCAATAAAATAGGCTGGTTCTCGGTTTCATCTGACTCAATCCTGGTCTGTCTTGTCTTGAAGTCAGAATACTACGTTCGCTTGTCTGAACTTGCTTTTGTGAGTCAACGTCAATTCTTAGTTTGTGAACTTTTTGCCATATAACTATTGCTTTGTCTTATTACTATTAATTTACCTTGCATATATTGTTTGCTTGCTTTATATTATTTTTTGTCCTATTCTTTCCTTTGTGACGGTTACACACCTGGCCCAGTGTCGGATCCTTTGGTTTCGGGCGCTTAACGGTGACGTCGCTCCTCCTGGTCGCTCCTCCTGGGTCCAAGCGTGCCGCTCCAACCCTTTGGTCAGATGATCACCAGCCTCGCCTTTCCCGACTCGCTTCCAATACCTGGTCACTAAAGCAACTATACCGATCTCCGGTCTGTCTACCCACGCTGTGTTTAGATCTTAGACAGACGGGACCAGCAGGGATCGGGCGATACAAGTTGAGTCCGGACGGGGTGGCAAAACACAAATAAAATAAAAACTCACGACACCAAACAAAATTGCTGATAAAAAAGGGTAACAACCTTTTATATCTTAAAGTCCGTTACATAAAAACAAAATTGTTCTCATTTCCCGACCCGCTCTGTGGACTATGGCACCAAGCTTCTATCACACAATAGAAAATGTCGAATTACCTACTTTCTAGAATCATGTATGTATGTCGGAGTGTGGTTAAGTTCGACACTGGGGCTAATTTCATCGATCATTCGCAGTTGATTCTTCTCTCCGACTTGAGTTGTATTTCTTCTTCTTCGTCTGCTTGGGCTGGTAGTTTTCCTGTTTCAACTTGGTGGAAGATTTCTTGTTTTCAACTTAGCCGCAACTCTCTGTCGTCTGAGGTGGTCTCTTCTCACTGCCGTCCGAGCTGAACTTTAACTTCTCATCGACTTTCGGCTTGTCTGCAGCTCCAATTCTTCTCAGGCTTTCAGGCAATCTTCTTCTTCGTCTACTTGGGCTGGAAGTTCTTCTTGTCTGAGGGTTCTTTTTCGCTGCCGTCCGGGGATGAACTCATGTCTTCGACTTGGGTGGAAGGATTTCTTGTCTGAGGATTCTCTTCGCTGCCGTCCGGGATGAACTTTAACTTCTCATCGACTTTCGGCTTGTCTGCAGCTCCAATTCTTCTCAGGCTTTCAGGCAATCTTCTTCTTCGTCTACTTGGGCTGGAAGTTCTTCTTGTCTGAGGGTTCTTCTGCCCGCAAAGGGGCAAGTGAATCGGGCCTGATGGCCGCGTTCAGGCTCTATCCCTGCCCGCGGTCCAACTCTCAACTCCAACTGCAACTCCAACTCTACTGATTTCTGTCGACTGGGGTCCTGCTTATATTGACGCCGCAACAAACTGGGGTGGGTCTGTCGGCGTCAGGGTTTTCTCGATAATTCCAAAAACTGCATTAATTCTGTCTTCTCCATTATCGCTATTGTTTTCGCCCCTACTTCCTCATAGTGCCTTTGGTGGGGAGGCGCATATCCATCTCTCTCGGTCTCTCGTATGTCAGGTGACCGCTTTTCAACCAATCGTTCCTGATCGAGCATTTCTTTCCCTTTTCTTCCGCAGGTCACGTGATCGTATTCGACCAATTGTTATTGATCAAACATTTCTTTCCCTTTTCTTCCGCAGGTCACGTGATCGTATTCGACCAATTGTTATTGATCGAACATCCTCTCCCCTCTGTTTGCGGGCGTGGTTACATCATTCTTGTTTAAAAAAAACAAAATCCAATTTTGCCCTTTTTGCACGTCACGCAAAATGACAATCTTTGGCTTTCTCTCACCTGGACTTTGTCAAACAGCCCGCTGCTAATTAGTCTTGACTTTAGAAAGGATCTTTTCCGCCTTCTTGGCGCCCTCTGTGAGCCAAAAGCAATTGTCCCTCTTTTTTTACCTCTTTGTTTTACCTGATAGTCGAAAATCTTAATTATCTACATTGAAATGTCTCTACTTTATTAACGTGGGTGTCCAATTCTTAACAGGTCTGTATATCGTTCCACCGGTCCTCCCCTCAACCCAAAGACACTTTTCTCTGATTAAAAATTGTTTCATTGTTCCAAAAATTTCTCTTTATCCAAATTGATAAGGTGTCTTTCCATGCAAAAGTAGGCTAGGTGCTCTGACCGACATTCTTACCAAAATGACTTTCGAAAATCGGCCAAGACGCTGACCTAAATCTCTTTCTGACTCCTATCTCCACCCTCAATTGGGTCATGCATCATACATTTCTCTTTCTTTTTTTCTTCCTTCCTTCCTTTTTCCTTTCTTTCCTTCTTCTTTCCTTAGGATCGTCTAGTACACTCTTAGTGAATTATTTTCAACTCAGTTATTTTCCGTTTTAAAAAAAAATCAACAACCTGTTTAGTAACCGAGTAAGAAAAAATTAAATCATATTTCTATGAATATTTCTAATAATGCAAGGTGCCACACCTTTTTCTTGTTATTGCAATTCTGTTTGTTGGACAATTCTATTAATTATTTTGCACTTAACCATGGCTACTCACTCCACAAGTTTTGTGCATATGCTTTATTTCAGTCATCACAAAATTAAGTGCTAGATCAAAGACATGCATTTCACTTTCATGTTCAGATTATTACCTCTTCACTTCAATTGTAGCTCTCACAACTTGTATATAATAATGAAAAAATATATAAAAATACAACAAAATGCACATTGATGGTATGAAGGTGCATAGAATCAATGGAAGCCAACAAGTAACTGATGCATCTGTGTGTGTGTGTCCAGAGATACCCCAGTTTGATTTGTATTCATTTGGTTGATTTGATTTCACTCAAGAACCAAATTTCTGTTAAAAAACTGGGGTGTATTTTTCTCAAAAGATTACTGATTTGTCTCAGGCCTTTGAGAATTGAGGTTCCACTGTATAAATAAACAAGTAGCAGATTGTTAATTCTTCTGAGAATATAGTAGTTCTCAAGAGGATACATTGACAGGGAGTAATGGTTAACAAGCATTACTACTGTAAAGTAAGGAAGAACATTTTGCATTTGAAAATTTCCATGTCCTTTCCTTTTTTTTTTTTAATCTGTTCCATATTTCAAAAACATGAACACACTCTTGAAAGTTTTTATTTATAAAATCTGTTATATATACCCATATTCTCCAGAGAAAAATCAAGTTAATTTTAGTTTTTAAAATGTCATTCTAAGAATGCTTTTTCTTTCATTTTCTTTATGAATATATACAAAACCAATAGAAAGCACGTATAAAAAAAAGAAAAATGTATCAAATTGAGTACATATTTATTATGCATTTCAATGTCAATAATGCACAATAACTTAGGAGGTGAACTTTAAGTTGACAAAAAGAAGATTTTATGATTTTAATATCTCAACATAGCCTCATGGAAAAAGGAAACTTCATTTGGAAAAAAAGAAAGAGGAAAATCAAAGAAAAGAAAATAAAGAAGAGAGAGCAAGATATATATGAAAAAAATTAAAAAGACAGAAATAAAGAGAGAGAGAGAGAGAGAAGGCGGAGAGCATCAAAGAGAAAAAAGACTGAACAGAATAAGAGTCCTCTGAGGAATTATGAAAAACCATTTATGGTAAATTCAATCAATTATATTGCATAAAAAACCACATATCTGAAAAGAGAAAAAACTTGAGTGTGAATGCTGCTGCTAGATCGTTAAAATAAAGTTCTTTCAAAAACACTAGGATATTTAATTCAGTCTGAATTTAAATGATGAGTCAAAAATCAATAAGATAAAAATATTTTAAACTATACAAAATTTTTTTTTACATTTGCCAAAGTACATCTTGTAATAAAATTCACAACAATTCACTGAAAAATGTTTTACAGCCTATGATTCAAAAACTGATACAATCAGAAAATAAATGTTTAAAATTATTTAAGAAACAAGAATGAAAAAGAACAGAGAGACAATGAGCACAAAAAAGTAGCAAAGAATGAACATGAAAGAGTAGCATAGAATGAATGCTAAAGAGTAGCAAAGGACAAATTCTAAAAAAGTGAAGAATGAGTGCTAAGGAGTAGTAAAGAACAAGCATGAAAGAGTATTAAAAACGATTGCTAAAGAGTTGTAAAGAATGAGTGCTATAGTAAAAAATGAATGCGATAGGGTAGTAAAGAATGAACAGTGAAAGAGTAACAAAGAAAGAGCATGAAAGAGTAACAAAGAAAGAGCATGAAAGAGTAGCAAAGAACATTGCTAAAGAGTAGCAAAGAAAAAGTGCTAAAAGAAGTACAAGTGCTAAAGAGTAGTAAAGAATAAGCACGAAAGAGTTGTAAAGAAAAAGTGCTAGAGAAGTAAAGAATGAATGTTAAAGCGTAGCAGAGAACAAATGCCAAAGAGCAGTAAAAATTGTGTGTTAAAGAGTTGTAAAGAACAAGCAATAAAATGTATTAATAAATCAGTGCTAAAGAATAAAAAAGAATGAGTACTAACAAGTAGCAAAGAATGAGTACTAACAAGTAGCAAAGAACAAATGCCAAAGAGTAGTAAAGAACAAGTGCTAAAAAACAAGTGAAGAATGTGTGCTAAAGATTAGTAATGAATGAGCATGAAAGAGTAATAAAGAATGAGTGATAAAAAATTGTAAAGAATGAGTGCTAAGGAGTAGCAACTAGCGGGTGCTAAGGAGTAGCAAATAGCGGGTGCTAAGGAGTAGCAAATAGCGGGTGCTAAGGAGTAGTAAAGAACAAGCGCTAAAGAGTTGTAAAAACGAGCGCTAAAGATTTGTAAAAAACAAGCGCTAAAGAGTTGTAAAGAATGAGTGCTAAAGGGTAGTAAAGAATAATCACGAGTTATAAAGTATGAATGCGAAAGAGTAGCAAAGAAAGAATATGAAAGTGCAGCAAAGAACAAATTCAAAAGAGTAGCAAAGAACAAGTGCTAAAAAGTAGTAAAAAATGTGCATTAAAAGATTTGTAAAGAATGAGTGCTAGAAAGTACTAAAGAATGAGTTCTAAAAAGTAGCAAAAAACGAGTGCTAAAGAGTAGCAAAGAACGAGTGCTAAAGAGTAGCAAAGAACGAGTGCTAAAGAGTAGCAAAGAACGAGTGCTTAAGAGTAGCAAAGAACGAGTGCTTAAGAGTAGCAAAGAACGAGTGCTTAAGAGTAACAAAGAATGAGCACTAAAGAAGTAAAAAACAAGTGCTAAATATTATTAAATAATGAGCATGAAAGAGTTGTAATGAATGATTGCTAAATAGTCGTAAAGAACAAGCACTAGTGCAAAATAGTAAAGTAGCAGTGTGAGAGAATATATTCTCTTGAAATCAGAAAATGGGTGAGATAATAAATAAAGAAATGAAAAATAAATGCAGTTGTAAAGAGAAAGAAAGGATAAAAAAGAAAAAGAAAACTGAATAAGAGAATGTGAGAAATAGATGTGAACAAAAAGGTTTTCTGAAAAAGAGACAGTGAAAAGTAGCAAAATAAATGGAATTAGTAAGAATAACAAGAAAAAAAAAAAGTGTAAAAATGGTAAAAAAAAAAAAACCCAGTAAAATAGAAATAAAGAGAATGCATCTTGTACTTCAACTGGTTTCATTAAGTTGGCTCATATGAAAGGTTTCATTGCATCCATTTCTGACTCAAATAGCCCCAAGGCTCTATATAAAGGATTCCTACTGCAATAGGACATGACAGTAAAGTGGAAAAGCAACAGAAAAACATCCTTATATTTCTTCCTCTTGTCTTTTTAGAAGGCTTCCCTCAATGATCTATCAAGTATCTGAAAACAAATTCTGAGGAAAATGGTTCATCATCTTGGATGTCTGAAATGAGAACACCAATTGCTTTGTCAAAAGCATCTCCACAATTAATAACCAATAAATAAAATAAAAAAGATTCATTCATTTTGTGCCAGTGTTCACGATTTCATTTTTTCCTTGGCTTCATATAGTGAATACACCTTTATTTTGAAACAATTTTTTATTAATACTGACTGGTGAAGGTAGATGCTAAGCTCAATATCAAGTAATTTCTTATTAGTAGAATTTACATTATCATTATTTGCAAATAAATACAAAGAACCACTGTTTAATTAGCCAAGCCTCAATTATATTTCAAATTAAAAGTTAGCTTTGCTTGCACTTCTAATAATCTCTAATGAGCAGGTGTAAAGTATTAAATGATTTCGAATATACAGTTTTAAAATTTAGAAAATTGTTTTTTGTAATTAAGTGTGAAAATGTCCATGATGGAAGAGAAGAGAAAAAAAAGAAATGAAAAAAATATTCCATTTGTATAAAATAATGATATCTGTGAAATAAGACATTTTTATTGTTTTAAATTCAAAATAAAAAATATGTAAAAGAATAATTTATTTCATGAAAATCATTATTTTATGCAGCAATTAGAAATCATTTCATTTCTTTCATTGTTGATAGGATTTTCTCTTAAATTTTTTTTTCCAGTAACATGAAAATTGGATCATTATCAGAGTGAGTATTAAAGCCAATCCAATATTATGAAGTTGCCCACTGGAGTGAAAAATGTTTTATTCTTCAAATTTGTAATGGTGTCGTTCTAGCAACAATCTAGCTATGATGTGTAATTTTTATTTTGTTACAATAACACTACCACAAACATAAATTGAATCATTACAATTGTGAGAGAGAGAGTTTGGGAAACACACACACACATGTATATTTTTTTTTAGTGAAATTGTAGAAGATTTGGATAGCGAAATTAAATCAGAGCATTTTATTTACTGATGTGGAAATTCGATCTAGGGCAGAAGTTGTACCCATTGAATCTGAGTTATCAGAAGACAATGGAAATGGTCAAAATTATTTTTATCAATTAAAAATTGAAATAGAGCTGAGTAAGCTAGAAGGACCTTTTGAATTCACATGATTTTGGTTGAAACAGCCAAAACCCCGTGATAATCACGAGCGAAGCAGTAGGGCCAAGATTCAGTTGTAACCAGCTGGATTTTTCTATATAAACGCGTAGTTATGCTGAAAAAGAGGCAGACAGATGAGCGTTTAGATAGAAGAGGCAGACAGGCAAGCACTGAAATGGAAGAGGCAGACAGGCAAGCACTGAGATGGAAGAGGCAGACAGGCGAGCGTTGAGGCAGGAGAGAGAGACGGAAGAAGCAGACAGAAGAGGCAGACAGAGAGAGAGACAGAAGAGAATTAGCCCGGGCAAGAGTTGGGCTAGAGACAGTGGAGAGTCAAGTTGGAGACTCAAGAAGGAGAGAAAGTGATGTCAGAGACTGGAACGAAGCGTCCACTAACATGTGCTGTTGATATAGGTACTGCTACTTCTGCTACCACGACTATTACTACTACTGTTACTACTGCTAAGGAGAAATGCCACTATAAACTTTAAGTTGTGCACAGAAATCTTATTTTCCCATTGCAAGAGTCGTATATCATTCTGAGACAATTTAACAACAAGTTAATCATAACACACTCTCTCTCTGTCCAGAATCCAGTGTATGCGTTTTTACGTCAATTACTTTTCTGTAACCCGTTTCTTTTCTATACTATTCTTTTCTGCTGTATAAAAGACATTAACAAATCAATCATTGAATAGTTGTTATCCGGCTTTCTGCAAATATTAATTTTTCTTTTTTTGCTGCATTCTAAATTTCTTAGCAGAGACTCTCCAGCCGTGTCTACACCTTCAGTCAACCATAAATGGATGAATATCACTTCTGCTTTCTGGATCAAACCAAACACAACGCAAGATTAAAACAGTGGACCAGTCGAATAATCTACGGATGCTCAGGGGACCTACGTCCACTCCCTTAAATTCGCTTAGGACCAAGTAGACACCTCAACCCAGAGAGTAAGACGTTGAATGTTGAGGGGCTGGGGCGAAAGTGTTAGACAATATAGATATATCGGAGATTTTGAAATGTTCTATTAACAAATATTATGGAAATATCTGCTTTCATCAATAACTATCCAGACTCTTTATAATGTTATGAATGAGAAAATAGTAACACTATGATTTGATTGTCAGTATATGTGATGCTCAAAGAATCTTCTCATATTCACTAATATTAATAATATTAGCATTAATTATTATATATATATTAATATTTCACTTAAATTTGTATATACATGTCATAAGATTAAAATGAATTATATAGATGTGCAGAAAAAATCCACTTATCTTCAAAAAGGCTCTAAGTGGAAAGGCCAGACTATTCATTAAAGCTGTGAGATGCTCATGCAGCAACAGCTTAACACATTTGTAGAGATTGTTAAGGAGCACAGACTGTAAGTGTCCAATTGGTCAAATCTGACCACAATCAAGCAAACAAACTGACTAAAGTTCCACAGCATTGGCTTGATGCTATCAAGAAGCAAGGTAAACCTTTGAAGCATTTATATGCTGCCTCTATAGAACCGTTAACTCCTAGTAAGATAATGGATATCCCCCACCAGAATAGTCATCCTGAAGTGAAGCGGAGATGGTACTTTGTGCAATGGGCCAGTGCTTTATGTTTGTGGTCAAAAAGTGTAAAACCTGTGAGTTTATAGACCTCTCCTCTGTATGATGGCAACATTGTTGGCTAGATATGAGCGACACATGGAGAAGAGTAGGTGTGGATATCACTTATTACAGGGGCAAATATTTCCTCACACTAACTGACTGTGGCCCCATCCAATTTGCAGTCTAGTGACCACTGATTCAAAAATACTCCTTCACCAATTGGAGGCAATATTATTTAAGCATTGTCCAGCAGGAGATTTTCAGAGACAACACTGCTTTCTGTAGTAGGCAAGTCAAGCAGGAATGGAGAGTTCATCTTCAGCTGTGATGTGTGTACATGCTATCAGGGAATGGCAAAGCAGAGAGGTGCCACTACTGGAATGTGAAGAGAATTGCAGCCGGGAAGCAATGGTGCTGGTATAATATAACATCACAAGGCAACATTTCAAGTGCAACTTCACCAGCCAGTGCTAACTATATGTAACAGATCTGAATAAAAGGGAGTTGACAAAACACGCGATCATGAGGAAGTACATGGACTATACAACGTTGAAGATCCCATTTGGCTGAAGCCTTCCAATAGCTAATTACTACCAATTTCAGAAAGGGGGTGCATCACAAGTGTAATCAGTAAGCATTCAATACTGGTTGATGGGATCCTGCACTACATAAAACATTGGTCTTCAGTGACAAACAGTAACAAGAGTGAAAAGTCTTCTGACAGCAAGATGTTGCTCCAGTGCAAGGCATTCTCACCGAATGGTCAACCTAACAACCTACTCACTCACCCGAGCATGTCAGATGACTCATTTAAAGAGAGTTGAGCCACAGAGAAGTACACACCAAAGGAGCCCAGAAGTAAGGCAGTCTTCTACAGAAGAGTCAAATCTCCTCCCCTATGACAAAGCACATGGCAAAAAAGGCCAGTCCATGGTTGCCATCTTTGTGATCAAGAGATCAGTAGGTAGTGTACAGAAGAAATTCACTTACTTTCAAAAAGGCTGAAGGTGTGCACTGGCCCATGATGTCATTGGCCCCATGATAGAAAGAAAAACCCAGGGTAGAATCATACCACCATTTATAACAGAAAGCAGTCAATGGAATAACCCAAATACAGATTAATGTACCTGCTTTCAAATGAATATAAAGTCAGCAGCAATGAACAAGAGATGAGTAATCAAGCCAACTGGGAGAGTGGATTTGCAACTATTGGCATATGTGGCTCTGTGAATTTCTGACAGTTTACTACAATAGAGACAGCAATTCATCTGCTGTTTATACTTTTTATAAGAACTATAACTTTCTTACAAAAATGAGTTAGTAAATTACTCAGAAAACTATAATGGGAATAAAAGTTGTACTTTTCACCGAATCAAACTTTCTGAACAATGAAACAAAGTAAATTATATAAAATCTTTTATTCTCTCAAGGTGGGTATTAACATGGCAATAGAGGAGGCTATTGGAGATTGCAACTTGATTGAATTAAAAGCAAGAAAAATATCTTGATCAAGTAAACTTGCTTAAGTATCAATAGGTTTGTGTCACAGGAGGAAGCAAATTTACAATGAAGGATGCTTGAAAGAATTATAGAGACACGACAATATAGGAATCTTATTGATATGAGTATTATTATGTGTTGCTACTCTTTTTAGAGCACAAACAATATAAAGTTCTGTTAGAAATTAGATTAAAAAAGGAAATTGAACTCAATCCAAGCAGACAAAAGAAAAGACAACAATTTTCTTTCAAGTAAATTGTTTTTTCATTGATCACATCATGAAGACATTGGATTTATTTTCTTCACTTTTCTCTCTATCCCCATTTGTATCTTTGTTTCTAATTTTTTTCTTGCTCTTTTTTTCCCCCCAAACATGTTTACTTTTAATTTCTTTGTTTTCTTTTGAGAACTTTTCTTTTCTCTCACTTTTCTTTTTGCTTGAAACTCCTGTATTTTTCTCTTTTTAATCTTCCCCCTTTATTTTTTCATTTTCAGTTTATTTTTTCTTATATTTCCTATCCTCTTAGTCTTTATTTTCCTTTCATTTCTTCCTTCTCATTCTGTTTAAAACCAATATACTTCCTCTTGTTATTTTTTTTCTTGTTTTTCTGATTTTGTTTTCTTCTAATATTAAATTAACATAAAAGTTTCCAGTTCCAGTATCTTTTGAAGAAATTTTTTATTCATATAAAGTTTATATCATTCAATCATCAAAGTATTTTCCCTGGCTTTTTATTAGCTTAGGCTACACCTCAAATTGTGAATTCCATCATAAAAGAAGGATTCCAGTTTTTATTTAGCACTTCAAGGATTTATTCAATATCTTGAATAATTGATTAGTGGTTCCAACAGTGTTTTTGTCTCCCTCATTATGTGCCATGCCCTTTCAGTACATGGGCGATCATGACTCTCCACAACTTCCTATCTTTTGTTGCACTTAGTAATTCTTGTTCCTTTAAGACTCCTCTTTGTCTTTGCAGTGCTTGTTATGCCAATCATTTACATAAATTTATCAAATAGGTTACTCATAATTTTTCATGCTTTTGTTGCCATCAATGTGCCCTATGAGTGTTAAATTATCCAAGCTTTCTTTCTTCTATATGTCACAAAATTTTAAGCTGTCACTTTTTGGTTGGAAAAAGTAATTTTTTTGTAATTCCTATTCTTCTTAAATCTTCCACATTTCTCTTTTGTACTTTCTACTCCATTTTCTTTCCCTTCCTCTTGTTATTCTCTTACTTCCACTCACAGCCTAAACAATCCTTACATTTCTTATTATTATTTCTTAAATAATTGATAATTTCATACATATGTGTGCATGAAGGTGTAATGTATAACCTCTCAGAATGAGAAAAAGGGGAGCAGAGTTTGAATTACAGCAAAATTTGTTATATTCACACAAATATTCTTGGGGAAGATATGAATCCACTTTTCCCCCCAACTGTAGGTTAAATAACAGGAGCAAACTGAGCTCTCTAACAATAGTTGGCAATCAGTCTATGAAAAAGACAACTCTGAATTTAAAACCATAACAATCAAATCACAGATTGGCCTTTGGTAAGGCATTATATGTGGAAGCTACCATTACCAGGGTTACAGTTAGGGTGAAGACATTGACAGCAGGATATTGGATAGGGTTAATGGAATGTGACAGACCAGATTTGGCATTGGGCTGTAATGGTGTCATGCAAAGGATCCTTCATACTGGACAATGGATGAGACCTACTTAGTCTAAGTTAGATGGAAACTTGTGTCTCCTAATATACATGCAGCCAAAACCCCTATGATGACACACATAAACAGCATCAGGAAGAAGTGTGTGTATACTATAAAGTATCCTGTCAAATGACCTAGTTAGTTATATATATTTGCTCACTTGTAGATATTTGTACATATCTATGTTCTGTAAACATAGATCAAAGCATCAATATTTATATTTATATATATATATATATATATATATATATATATATATATATATATATATATATATACAAATATACCTATAAAAGCATAAGAGGATACTGAAAAAATTTTCAGTTAAAAACTTTATTTACTAAAAGCTGGCCAAAATAAAAAAAACATACTTTTTTAAAACTTCTTTGTCAAGAACTACATACACACACACATATATATATATATATATATATATATATATATATATATATATATATATATATTTATATATGAGAGAGAACTGAAAATTTTCAGCTTGACCAACAAACATTTCAAAAAAAATATATATTTGTTCTTTCTTTTTTTATACCTTTTTTTCCCCCTTTGGTATTGGCTTGATTATTCGCAAATCAAGACACCGAAGGTTTTCCGGGCGAGTATAATTTCTTATATTTATAAGATTATTACTACTAATATATATATATATATATATATATATATAATACATTTGCACATGAACACACACATTTGTGTGTGTGTGCACATATAAGTGGACACTGAAAGTTAACAGAGTGGCAAAAACCTGTTTTCTGTAATCTTCATGGCCTGAAGATTGTATTTTATATCTACATATCCTCTATCCCTGATATTGAGCATTTTACCCATAAATATAGCATATCGTAAAATATTTTATCATATATATATATATATATATATATATATATATACACACACACAAACTGGCAACCATAAACAAATACATGCAAAGAGATATCTTATTAATATATTATATTGGAATATATTTAGAAATGAGAAAAGAATGACAGAAGAGAGAAGGGAAGTATCAGTTTAGAGAAAAAATAAAACATTATAAACAGACTATATATATATATATATATATATATATATATATATATATATATATATACACACACACACACACACAAACAATCTTGTCACTAAACCTTTTAAATCCTGTCCTGCAATGGCAATACAGATGCTAAGTATAGCACAGATAACTGTCAAAAGACAATTAATAGCAATAGAGTATTTTCATCTATTTTGAAAAGAACAAATATAGACCAAGATTTATAGTGATTTTTACCCACTCCAATTTTGTGAACAGGCTCACGGACATTTCTATGGTTATTACTTTGATAATTGAGCATTGAATATAAAGGAATATACTGGAAGGAGCATAGCTCCTTTACATAATTTGTGTATAAGAGAGAAAAAAATCTATTTCAAAAAAGTATATCATTTCATTAGCGAGATCTATGCAAATGAAACAGAGATTATCTGGTATTGTCAGGTCTATTAACTTTAAATGATTTTATGGTGTTAGATTTTGTTAATCTCAGTAATAATCATAAGGAAAGAAAAGGTATTTAGTAGAATAACTAGAATTATTCCATATCTTTACTGTTTTTATCAATAAATTCTATGACTTTCCTTATATATACACTACATCCAGGAAACCTTGAATAATTTTTTAATCCTTCCACTTTTTTAACAGAATTGTAATGTCTTCCATATATGTAGTGGTTAAGAATGTGCTGCTTAAAGATTCCCATAGATACTAAAAAAGATTAGTATTTGTACTGCTTTTTTACAGTACATATAATCTGTTACATTATCAATGCAAAACTATAAATTGTTACAACTGAGTCAGTTGTGAGACTCATAAAAAAGGAACATACCAGACAAAATACTGGTCATAAAATCAAGAATACTAATCTGAACAGTTCATGGTATTAGGTTGAAACCAAAGTGTGTACGGTTTTTAAGTGAATTTCAAAGACAATATTTTGACATATGTACATAGATTATTTTCAATCACAAACACCATTTTATCCCAATACCTTTTGCCATCTTCATGTTTCCATTCTTTGGCATCTTTCTGAGTGATGAACTGGTTTAAGTGCTTTTTAAAAGGCTTCCAGATAATTGAAGTTCTTTCTATGATGAGAATTTTGCAGGGGTTGGTATGTGGTAATGTGAAGGTCCAAGGTCAAGTAAATATGGTGGGTGTAAGACATACCAGCCAAACTTTACCAATTTCTTCTGGGTTTGCAAAGAGACTGGTATTGTCCTGATGGAAGAGACTTTTCATCAAGTGATGCCTTTAATCAGTCCAACTGAAAAGCATACTTGTCTGAATTGAATGTCTGATTTTGTGGAAGGAGCTTGTAATATAAAATATTCTTCCAATCCCACAAAATAGACATTATCACCTTTTTCTGGTGCAGAATGGCTTTTGGAGTGATTAACAGTGGCTCATTTTGTGTCCCCCCACCCAGGACCTTTTTTCTTCCTCATTTTTGTAAAGAATCCATTTTTAATGATCTGTGATTGTTTTTGCTTTTCAAAAATGGGTTATTTTTGTTGCATTTGAGCAAA